TCTCTTATGTCCTTTTGTTTGTTTCTTATTTGTTTCTCATCACTTTATTATCTATCCCGAAACTCAAATCTTAGTCCCGTCACAACAAGATTATGTTTGTTTGAAGGATAATGGTGGTATAAGAAAGGATAATGGTAGTACGTGAGGCCAGTTCACCGAAATACATGTACATGGGCTTTATATAATACCACCTAGGAGGTGGTATTATTTTTTGGATTTTGGCCACCAATGGTATTAAAGAGGTTAGTGACTGAATTACCCTTCAGCCTTTAATGTTAGTATGGAATTTGGCGACCAACGGTTTTTTATTTTTTAATTTTATTAATTTTTTTTTAAAAAATTCTGATTTTAAATTTTTTTCCTTGTATTATGTTTAAACATTTGATATCAGAGATTTTTTTTATTAATTTTTTTTTTAAAAATTCTAATTTTGAATTTTTTCCTTGTATTATATTTAAGCATACAATGTCACCGGTTTTTTTTTATTTTATTATTTTTTTAAAAAAAATTATGATTTTAAATTTTTTCTTTGTACTATATTTAAGCGTATAGTGTCATCGGCTTTTTTTACTTTTTTAATTTTTTTTTGAATTTTTTTTTTATATTATGTTTAAGCATACGATACCACCGGTTTTTATTTTAATATTTTTTTTTTACAAATTTTTTATGTTCATACATCTAGAACATCCATAAATACTTGTTTTTTTTTTGTACGGTGTCACCGATTAATGCCGTTAGATTCTTTATTTTTTATGTGAATTTTTTCGGTATGAATTGTCATACCATATATTATACCAAACATTGTGCAAAAGCGTTATACAACCAGAGTAATAGAATAGATGATGTTAAGGGTAAAATTGTATATTTGTTATACAAGATGTGATAGAATAAATGGTTATTTGTGAGATTCACCATAGTACCTATTGAACAAACAAACATGGGAAGGGACTGTCTTACTTTTTTATTACCAGTACTACTTTACATAGGTATTGGAAATATAAGGAATACATTTCACAATCCCATGCATAGCAATCCCTCAAACAAACAGGCCCCAAGTTGATAACCGAGCACTATTGTGGGCCTAAGCACGGTTGGTGGGCCCGAGCACTATTCACCAGCACTAGTCATGGGTACTATTCATTGGCGCTGATGTTCTGACTTCGTCAAAATTTTGATTTGATATTTTGCAATGGCCATAAGGTTCAAGGGCAAAAAGTTCAACGAAAACAGTGATTTTAGCATATGGCGTTTATAGATGTTGCTAAAGGCTATAGAGAAAAAAGGGTACAGAAGGAATAGATGCCTTCCCACAACAATGACAGATGATGTAAAGAAATATTGCTAAGTTCCGATGCTTAAACTCTACCTAGCCCTCCCCCTTCTTATCCGATCTATGCATGAATTAGTCATTCACGCACAGCCCCCATTTTTCCTATTGCAAAGCATGTGCAAAAATATGTTTCAATACTTTAATGTCATCACCATGACTTTTGTGTCTTATCTTATCTCTTTGCACCAAAAGTCTTCATTTCTAACCTTTTGAAAAAGAAAAAAAAAATCTTCATTTCTGACCGTTATTCAACAATTCTCCACTGTGACAAGAAGTCACTCAAATCGTTTTGAAAAAATTCATTCTTGGTCGTCGTCTCAGATGTGCCTTCAGAGACGCTCAAACTTTTACGATGTTGGTCAAAATCTAAATAATGCTCGAACTTGCTTGTTGAAACTACCTTAGTCAAAATATCAACTAAATTCTCTGCTATAGCAATTTTCTTCAGTATAGTAGCACCTTAAGAAATCACATATCTGATGAAATATGTTGGTCCGTTCATTGAACATCTGATTTTTAGTCAAATGTATGGCACTCTAGCTATCACAATACACAGTAATCAACTTATGTTCCAGACTTAGATCACAAACCAAACTTTTCAACCATACGGCTTCCTTCACTTTCTTTATAGCTGTCATGTACTAGACCTCAGTTGTAGACAATGCAACTATAGACTGCAATGTTGCCTTACAACCGACAGCACAACCACAAAGAGTAAATATATAACTCGTCAGCGATCTCCTTTTATCAAGATTTTGGCATATCTAATTAACACTACCATAAGTGTCATTGTCTTTGTCATACACCAGCCTAACATCTACAGTACCTTGTAGATATTGAAGTATTCATTTCACAACCAGCCAATAGAAAATGCAACTATAGACTGCAATAGAATTTTTTTTGTCGATCTATATATTAGTTAACCATACTTCCAGTGTGAGAAATGTCGGGCCTAGTGCACACTATAGCATACATAATGCTTCCAACTACTCTGGTATAAGGAACACGTGACATGTGATCCACCTCCTCTATCTGTGGTGACAAAGCAACCGAAAGTTTAAAATGAACAGCTAACGGATTACTAACAGCTTTCGACCCTTGCATTCCAATGCATTCAAGTACCTTTTCAATATACTTTTTTTATGATAGGTACAACCTACCAACCTTTTGGTCCCTACAAATTTACGTCTCCAGTATTTTCTTTACAACTCTCAAATCTTTCATCTCAAACTCACCGCTAAGCTAAGTCTCCAATTTTCTAATGTCTGGCATGCTCTTTACAGCTATCAACATGTCATCAACATACAGTAACAATACACAAATGAATCATTTAGGAGTTTCTTGTAATAGACACAATTGTAATTCTCACCTCTGCAATAATCATTTGCATTCATGAATTTGTCGAAACGCTTAAACCACCGCCTTGGTGATTACTTTAGACTAGGAACTATTCTAATTAATGCACATAGATCTGTTCCTCCAACTCGCGATGCGGAAACATTGTTTGACATCATGCTACTCAAGCTCTAAGTCAAATAAAGCACCCAAGCCAATAGAACCCTGATCAAGCTATGCTTCACTACTAGAGAGAACACTTCGTTGAAGTCAACACTCTCCTTTTGTGCATAGCCCTTGGCCACCAAACAAGCTTTGAAACAAACACCTTCCACTCCTTGAGTTTCTTCCTTCCTTTTGAAAACTCATTTGCATTAGGGTAGCAACTTAGGTGGGTTGAGCGAATCGAGGGATCAACCCTAATCCAATCCTAGATATAAAATCTTCAATCCTAACCATACCGCAACCCGAGTATTGTCCAATTTGATTTTGAGCAAGCTCGAGTTAAAATCTCTATTTGGGTTGGCAATTCGGACTCAACAAACAATAATCATAAATTAGGTGTGAGCCTTTGCACAATGTTAAACTATTACAAGGCCTACATGGCCCAAAAAATCCATCAAGACAATTTATTAGGGGTGTAAGAGTGAGCTTTCTTTATATAGGAGAGAAGGGAGAGGTCATTTGAGTTGTCTATCTGATGTGGGATGACAACTCATTGTCTTTCTTTTGTCTTTTTTACTAATCTCACATTAGTGGTATAATCTTCTTTCACCGTCTATAATCCTTATAAATCATATTTCACTCTCCCTTTGAATAATAGTAATAATAACAAAATATGTATTTACATTTTATTTTTATATTGTTTATGTTTATATTTATATAAATATAACACATGAATTCGAGTTGGGTTCAGGTTGAGCCCAATTTCATCAATTCGGGTTGGGTTTAGGTTAAAACCATGAACCCGATCCTTGCCCAAATTCAATTTGGGTTTAAAACTTTTCAACCCTAACACTATTTTTTTCAGGTTGAGTTCAAGTTGAATTCAGGGTTGACCCACCCAAGTTGCACCCCTATTTTGCATCCAACGATTTTTTGGCCTTTAGGCGATTTCACCAGCTCCCATTTATGATTTTTATGAAGAGACTCAATCTCTTCACTCATGGCTACGGACCATTGTTCTGAATTTTTCCCAATGATGGCTTCGCGATAAGTGATTGGCTCAGAAGCCTAACACTTTCTGTCACACTAAGTGCATGGGCAACAAGATCTTCGTAACTATATCTTTGAGGCTGCTTAGTTTGCCTCCTTTCTCTATCCCTGAAAGCATGTACCATTGTTGTTGTGGAGCCGCATCAAAGTCTTGTTCCTTTTCTTCATCGTGCTTGATTGGGATATCATCTTACAAATCTTCTTGCAAGTCATCTGGATTCCACTTCAACCTCCATCTGTTTTACTGATATTGTGTTCTTTTCCAACATCAAAAGACTCCTCCTTCTTAGGTTTAAGCATAATAAACTCATTAAAAGTCACATCTCTGTTAATAAATACATTTAGGTGGTTTTGCGTCAGCACACCACAATTGAAATGAAGACTTTTGGTCCAAAGAGACAAGATAAGGCACAAAAGTCATGGTGATAGCATTAAAGTCTTAAAACATCTCTACACATGCTTTGTAAAAGGGAAAATGGGGTTTGCGCGTACATGGCTAATTCATGTGTAGATCTAATCAAATCTTGCACATTTGTCTGCTTCCTCCCCAATTTCACCATAAAAAGGGGACAGCCAGGTAGAGCTCAAGCATCGGAAATTAGTGAAGTCTTTCTACATAACAGAGTATAGAGAGTTGTTAAGGCATCTGAGAGTTAAGTGACATTAGAATGCATTCTCTCATGGAGTGAGTACTAGCACAGCAAGAAACAGTTGTTATACTGTTGTTTTACCCCATAGTGCACTAGCACGACAATCGTTGTTGTTGTGGACATAAGCAATAGCCAAACCACGTATATCTTTTGTGTCCAATAAACACATCTTTTTGTCATACCAGGCCCCTCAGTATTTAAATCAATTTCTTTTTCTTTGGGGGACAGGGATAAGGAGATTTTTATATCAATCTAATGGCAAGCAGGTCATTTGCTTCTAAATTTACGACCCTAATTACTGGCAGCAAACAGAAACATCAAACTCTTGTACAATCTTCTATCTCACTATTTTCATTTTGAATATGAATCTAGATCAATACTATCAGCGCAAAAATCAAAAGCATATATGGAAGTCAGAAAAATACAAGGGAGAAACAGCAACAGTAGGTAACAAACAGTATTCATAAACCCTAAGTTTTAAAACCACTGGAGCACAAAACAATCTAACAACAAAAGGATCATGGTTAAATAAGCACAAGGTCCAATCCTCTGGAAAGAATTGCAGCACAACCTCACCTTATTCCTATTTGCATTTTAATATTTACAACTGGGCACACAGAACAATTGAAAAGGAGGCACACCTTGTTTAGCAAGAATACAGCATACGCTGCTTTGGTTGAGTCTTGCCCTTCTAAAAAGAGAGGAAAATCTATCGGCTTCATATTTATGGAAACTGATGAATCTGATGCCAAATCAGACGATGCAGGCTCCATCGAAGGTGCATAGTCACAAATGTATGATCGAGAACCTCCTAATCGTAAAGGATATCGTAGAGGAACTTCCAAGTAGGACGCAATAAGTGAAATGGCCTGCGAGAACCAGTCAAAATATATATTAGCTAACCAAGACTAATCTGCCCCAGAAAGCAATAACACAACATATGCTACTTTCGTTTAGTTCAAAAAAAACGTCATCAATATATCATGCTCCTTTATATTAGATATCCAAAGCAAAGGACCTAGCGATACATTAGTAGCAAAGCACCAGATGCTAGATGTTCTGCAATTGCTAACATATACTACCATCGAAAGATATCCTAGCTGATAATTCTATTCAAGCAAAGAGAAAGAACACACATGAGCGACATATCCCAGGGCAGTTGCAGATCTCTGAACCTCCTTCTTATCGGCAAAAAAACTCATCTTCGTAAACGGGAGCACAGTGAGATGCAGACCTGAAATAGTCAAGGATCCCTGATCAAGAGGTTTTGATCCAGCAGAATTCCCTGAAGATGCAAAAGGAGAAAAAGGGGGGGCGGCTCTTAGTATCCAAATAATGACTTACATACAAAATAACACAACCAGTTATGATACCACTTGGAAGTTGTAATACATTAGTTGATGGAAGCTTCAGACAACTTCTCACAAAGTTAGATAACGAGCTTATAAAGAGGTCTATGATTTTCAAAAGATGCTAAAATATTCATCCAAATCATATGCATGTACATAGATGCAAGATAATGAGTGTACAAGTTTTAAAGATTTTAAGTGGAAAAAACAGAACAAAATGAACAAGCAATTATCATTCAATTCCACCCACGCACACAAGCCTGCACCCACATCCACACTTATCACACACAATAAACACAACAACATGATAATAGCAAAGGTAACTACGGAAACTTACACATGCATGTAACTGACAAAAGCAAATTTAGCTACAATCATTTGAAATTATTTGTTCTTTAAAAGCAGTAGAATCAACCATTCACATGAGCATTGATGGACCTAGGTATATATAGCTTAACAGAGGCCAGTGAGAAAAATTCATCTCATTTTAGACCAAAATAGCTGAAATAATTTGGCTTTCTATGAGACGAAATTCCTGCATCTCCGACTATACACATAAATTCTGGCCAAACTACAGAAAAACACACTGAAACTCACTAAAGCAAAGTCATTTCGGTCAATATTCATCAGGCAAAAGTTGTTTTCCAATACCATTTCCTTACTAATGGTTAAATGAAAATAAAGAAGATTTAGAGCCACCAAAACAGCTCAGGTTCGTAAGAGGATCTAAGAAAATAGAGTAAGAGAAGGGGTGAGAGAGCAAAAAAGCGAAAAGTGACCATTTGTTTTCCTCTTCTAATCTTTTCACTTGCTTCTATTTCCAAAAAAGGATTTAGATGTATTTTTTCTTGTTCGGTCTAAGTTAGTATTTAACCTTTTTCAAAGCATGATCCATGCAACCTTTTTTGGCTAAAAGCAACTCCTTCCGACCCTTGAAATGCTGCACTATTGTCCTCTAGTGTGGATGGTTATTCATACCTTAAACATGTTCAATTACTCAACAAGAAATTTTATCCATATAGACAGCAGATTTTAGTTTACACCTTCCAACATAGCCAACTGTCATCAAATGTTTCCGCAATTCCCTTTCTAGAATATTTCACGACTATACAGTTTTTGTGGTTCAATATGTTCTTGGTTTTAAGTTCTGATATATCAAATCTTTTCCACTTAGATTTTTTCCTTGAAGTCTTGAACAGATAGCTTTGATACTTTTGGATGACAATTGAGTATAATTAATAGAGTAGGATCTAAAATACATCTATTGTTCAAACTAATTGTTCTTTACTATTTATTCTCTAGATAATAATATTTTCATATAAATGTAAATAGGTGAAAGATATGTGAAAATTGCATTAAATATTATTACTATAAATAGACAAAAGGAAAAGACGATATAAGATTTTTTTTCCCAAAAAGAAAATGGTTTTCTATTCCAAACAATATTCGTAAGAAAGACTAATTTGTATTGATTGGCATTGGTAGTTTGGTACTTTTATTTCTCCTTCTTTCTTATTCAAAATCTATATCCATAGAATATACCATGCCCTGGCAATTGGTTGAACTCTATAGCATAAAGAAACAAAAAGACAATATACATGTAAAATACATCGAAAGGTTTAAGAACCCCACTATTGTTGCTTGCTTGAAAAACTTTAATCTTTTTTCTATTAATTTAACTGATCAAACTCCAGGAAAGAATGCGCCTAATTGAAATTTTCAAAGCCAAGTTTTGGGTATTCTTCATATATAAGAAATTGAAAGCCTATTCATTTGTTCAATGATTAAGAAATAACTCTGTTGGGTCTGGTTTCAAACTTTGGAGTAGACAGATTCTCCTGAATATACTTGACAGTGCACCCCACATGGTTTTTGGTTGAACTTATAGAATCAATGCATGGAGAACTACCAATACCGAGAACCAAATTTAATTTGTTAAAATTAAAAGAGCAAATGATTTAAGAAAACAAGGGTCTTAGTCTCCCCCTCCCCCCACCCCCACACCCCAAAAAAAA